TCCGGCGGGGCGCCCCCCCCCCGGCCGCCGCTCCCCCCCCCCCCCCGCCACCGCCGCCGGCCCCCCTATAGTGCATCATGTCGTCTGCCTGTTTGTCCCCGCTCTCCTCTTCTGCAGTCCCCCCACCGTGTTGCCCTCGGCTAGGCTACTGATGGCAAGGCCCTATCAGCGTTCGGGCTGGCTAGGGGCCCCGCTGTAGGCTGCGGCCCCCTCGATTCCCCTCCGCGTGATGGACAGATACGGATATCTCCCCCCAAGCGTCAATTTCGCGCGTACAATCTGTCTTTCCGTCACAAAAAGAGAGAGAGAGAGAGCTAATAGCTCCCGCGTGCTGCGAAGATTGCCCAGCCCTGATTTCGTCCGCAGCAAGAGCGTCACCGGGTGGCAATAACTCCAACAGGCTAGTTGACCTAGCAGGCACGGCAAGACAGGCAGGCACAACGCAACGGGGGAGCCGTTCGGAGCGTTGCCATTCAGAGCAAAATCCAGCACCGGCTGCTTCTTCTGGTACGGGTCGAGAACATGGCGCAACAAAACATCCTACGTCCGTCTTGCGTGGACCGCGACAATCGTGCAAGCAGGGTTTGATGGAGCGGCGGAGTCCGTGTATTAGCAGGGTCGTTCTTTTCGAGGACACAAGAGAGGGAGCCGGGTCGATCTTCTGCCGAGAGGCAATTTTCACCACACGATGAAAGCAACTCAGCACTGCTGTTTCCACCCCGCCAGAATCTACTTTGGCGGTGCAACCGCTCGTACTTGCTTCCCGACGGGGCACCATTTTCTAGAGACGAAACCTTCGACGTGGTACGCTGCAGCCTACTCCCCGCGCTACTCCATTGTTCGAATGAGCACCAACAATGGCCGGCCCATGGGATATAGATGACTACCCCATATACTCAACAGCCGCCCGTGAGCTGCTGTGCTTGGATACGCTTTGAAGCGCAGTTCGTTTTTCACACACACAAGGGGAGCATACTACCAGATGCGTTTTACGTGGACAGGCGTGTTGCTTCTGACAGGCTGACACCGCGGGTCGTCGGCCAGATCTGGTACGGGTCAGCCGTGGTCAAGCGAGTGTGGGGTAGTACGTGGGAAATTAACGCTCTGTCCACCGGGGGCTTTGACTGCACAGCAGTACAGCAGTTGCGGCCGGCGAATAAGAAACGTCAATCTCGGGTCGAGGCTCAATTTTCTTACAACCGTCGAGAATAGATCATGATGTAGAGTGGAATCCACGGCTGAGGTGTGCGTGCTGTAGTCGCTAAAGGCCCAGCCTCATTTTTCTCAATCACGTATCTACATGAAGGTTTTCTTGCGTGCAAGATGCTGTACAATACATATCCGAGAAGATTTCAACAACGATCCCTAAGGATCAACAACTAACATACGGAGTGGTACGAACCTTTATCGCCTCCCTGCAAGAACCAGAAAAATTCAATGATTCCGCCTATACTTGTTCTCGGCCTAACCCTCCCTGCTAGTGTCTTTGATGCCCGCCGAACCGTGGCGATACCTTGTACACGTTACGTCTAACCGCTTCCGTTGACGAAATCATTTGTCTGCCTACAATGGCAGCAGAGGTACAGCAGTGCACCCAAGCGACGTTGGGGTCTTGATCGATCATTACTCTTGACAAAAACGCCAGCGGCTTATGTAGGGGCTTGGCATCCTGGGACTGATGTTCAACTTGCTGATTAGTGTAGCGGCCTAGGTGCGCGCTTGGCATCCTGGCACTACAGTAGTAATGATGTTTAACTGACTGCTGTACGACACGTTGCCGCAAACACAGCAGTACCCGGCAACGGCAGGTGGTTGGTACTCCGTTCATGCCGCAATAGTACTCTGTCTCCTTACAGGAGCACTATTAATAATGTGGAAGGGTAGGTGGGCGGGGTAGGCGTAAAGTCGCGTCATGCCACATGTCTGTCTCGCTCGGTCGAATACTATATATGTACCACACCCCAAACACGCGGCTTGCGACTCCATTGTTGTATGATATTATCTATTGCAGTTTTGACCCCACGCCTATAATAGCGCTCTCTCTTGTCGCGACGTGAGTGTCGACAGCAGTCGAAAGGTGTATCGTCCCGCCGGCCCGGGTCTGCTGCGTAGGCTTCGAAACCACCAGCATTATCCCGAAGCTGCTGCTGCTTTTGCTGCAAGAGCGTCACTGCTGTCAGTACACCATCCACGTCATGCCCCCCCCCGCCCGCCGCAGTCACGAGAGACAGCAGTAGTAGTGGAGATGCACGTACATTTATGTACAACACTGGTAATAGCTCCATGTTTGCTAATGAGCGTATGCATTCGAGGTTTCGTCTCTTTTGGGAAACGCTGCAAGGATTGTTGGATGTGCTACACATCATATAGGGAATCAAAATTTCCCGCGTCGTGGGCTAGAGCACAGGCCCTCAAGCACGCAGGCGGTGTGCAAGGGGCAAGCGCGTGATCACGACAGCTCACCGTTCACACGAAACGACTCTGTAGACCTCTGCCCCTCCAAGTCCCTCGAGTCTAGACAAAGGAGGAGCCATCGCTCAAATTTCGAGAGCCCCACCTATTGGCATCTGTGCTGGGGCCCCAACCCACCCGTCGAGAGCAAAACAACACGCCCTCAACACTCACGCAAGACACCAAGGCTCTTACCTCGCAACTCGCCCACAGGAGCACGCCTTTAGGAATCCTTTTGTCTCGTAGCAGTGGCTGCCGTCGCACGCAACGCACCTGGCATCAGGCGGGGATCTCCAGCTCGTGCTCACATGCCCGTAATATCGAATGCATTTTGCGGAGCCTCCAGGCCGGTTGAGATGGAGGATGTCTGATGTGTGACCACTGCACAGTACGCACTTTGGACAGCTACGATGGTCACAGCCCCCGCCCGAGCCCTGTGCGCAGGCTTCATGTTGCAGGTGGTAGGACTCCCGCTGGCGCGAGCGTTTTGCAGCTCGGCCCCTCGGCCAGGAGGGGCTTACAGAGGAGGACTTGCCGCCTTGGCTCTTCAACAGCAAGGCACCAGCAGCAGCACCAGCAGCAACAGCCGGAGGTGTGATGCGCTCGCTCTTCGCACCAACAAGAGCGCTAGCGTGTGTGTTTGTGTTGAAGTAGGGATAGGGGGCGGCTAGGGAAGGTCCATGACTCTTGTGGGGGTTTAGCTTTGTTGGGCGAGAGATTGGGACAATGGTGCATTGACGTTAGTCCAGCGCTGACATCGCCGCATGTGTCAGGTCGTGAGTTGCGGGACAAAGGAGCTCTACCGCACAACACGTGCGACCCCTATTAAGCCTATACCAGCTATATTCCTCATCATCTCCGTGGGCCGTGGGTTGTTTATCTTTCAGCAAAGGTGGACGGCGCCGCCAACTGCCGCTGTACTGCTGTTGTTTCAGACGAGCCGAACTCCGACAGTTCGGTCGGCATGTCAAATGAACCGCGTGTGCGTGTTGGGTACATATGCTTTGATGCTCAGGGGATGTCAGCAGTAGTGCGACGGACACATCACCAAACCTTCAACCAAACAGCAATATAAAGCTGAGCAGTGTCCGGGGCGTTGCGTATGAAAGACACGTGCCAGTTGTTCGGGTGTGGTAATTAGTAGAGACGAGGCGCGTGTTCTTTTTGTTCCGCCAGGTTATTGCGTAAGATACCATCCCCCCGGGACCTTGACTTTTGCCGAGGCTCGATTGCTCCACCATGAAGAGGGTAGGTACCACAGTCAATGAAAGCTCTTGACAAGACCGTTCCAATGTTGTCACTTTCGATACCGCCACATAATTTGCTGCAGAGTAATCGAGCTTTGAAAATCGGTCCAGCGGGGTGTGATATCTTGCGTCACCTTGTGGAACAAGGGCATGCGAAGGGACCGCATTGCGAGAATGGAACACCCCCCCGCCCCACCGGACCGAAATTGCGCGTTTCAAAGCATGCACAGAGCACAGTACACGGCGGGCTACCTTGTGTACATGAGTTAGTGTGGTCATCGTAACCTACACATTCTTCAGTGTATTGGCTTCGGGAAATGTTTTTCCGCATGCAAGCACACGCACGCGCTGCCGCCGCTGTCGCCGCCGCCGCCGCCGCAGCAGCAGCAGCGACAGTATTGAAACTCATGTGTTCTTCGTTGTGTTGGCTTCGCTAATTGTTTTCCCGCATGCATCCACATTCACGCGTTGCCGCCGCCGCCGCCGCCGCCGCCGCCGCCGAAGCAGCAGCGGCAGCAGCGACAGGGTTGCTGCGAGGAGGCCGGCAGGGCGGCTCTGCATGAGCACCGACGCGTCCCCGGCGGCCGAGAAAGCACCCGCCGGGATGGAGGAAGAGGTGCGATACTGTTGGATATTTTGTTGTTATTCGAGCGAAGCGACATTTCTAATCTGGCCTCAGGTTTCAGCGCAACATAGCGCTCGATCCAGAAAAAAAGTTTCTGCGTCTGTTCGCTTGATGTAGGTTTTAGACTGCCGTACATCGCTTGATTTTGAAGGGGGGTCAGCATTATTTTGTTGTTGGAACGCACGCAGATTGCAGCTGCAGAACACACGCACAGGAACACGCGCAAAGCAGACAACACACGCACGCACAGCGGGCACAGCGGATAGAACAGCGGTAAAAGCCGCGTTCAGGTCGTTGTTTGTCCAAATCGAGACATTGCATGGTGCCCTCGTCTTCGACTGCTGCTGTTGACGCGCGGGGATTTTTTGCACCACAAATGACAAACAGGGAAACAGTAGAATGAGTACAGCAGCAGCCCCAAAGGCCTCCAACGCGCTGATTCCTTCGGTTCGACTGTCCATATGATCCTCACTCCCGGCACTGCTGTGCTGCTTCGTGGGTATTGCGGGCTCGGGTGCTGCTCTAGAAGGCGCATGAGAGATGTGTACCACCTCGCCAAACTACCCGTCTGAACAAATGCGGCGAGATGGCCTGTTTTGGGTCGGAGACAGCCCCACAAACCCACGGTACCACGCAACAGAAGAGCAATAGGGCCTCCGAGAAGCTAATTCTTTCGGGTTGGTCATGTACATGATGCTGACCCTCAGCGCCGTCGCCTCTCTATGATTGTTGAGTTCGTCTACCTTTCGTCAGGGAGTGGTAAAAAAGGGGGGCCACACTTGGGTCACCACGGAGAAAATGAGCAAAAGGACTTGAGGAAATCGCAGGCCACACTCAGTTCGTGACACTGCTCCCTGCCCCCAGTGCTGAAAAAAGCAGGCCGGGTGGACAGGGTTTTTAACAAGTGTGCTGTCCTCTGTGTCGGTGCTCATTTTTGTGCTTGTCCTACGCAACGGATCAATAGTATTAACTCTGCAACGGTCATGCACCCGCGCCGTCTAACGGCTACACCACGTCCCTGCACACCATCTTTTGGCAACGGCTGTGCTTTTCGTGCTAGGGAAAGGTCGACCACTTGACAACGGTTTGTTTGTTTTTTGCAATGGGTGAGTCTTTTTTGCTCGAAAAAAAGTATTTTTATCACTTGACAACCGCTTGTTTGTTTTTTGGCAGCGGCTGTGTTTTGTGTGCTCGGAAAAAAGTATTTTTATCACTTGACAACCGATTGTTTGTTTTTTGGCAACGGGGTGTGCTATTTTTTGCTCGGGAAAGGTCGACCCAGGAGAGGTAGCAGGGCTGCGGATCCTCAAGTACCCGCATCCGGCGTTGCGAGCGGAGAACGACGAGATCGAGGTGTTCGATGACGACGTGAAGAAGCTCGCCAGGGACATGTTCAAGGTACAGCTTTGTGGTTGTGGTGTTGCAAGGTACAGTGTTGTTGTTGTTGTTGTTGTTGTTGTTGTTGTTATGTCTCGCAGGTGCCAAAGCTATGCTCAGGTGCTCAGGTGTCGCTTTAACCCTACTAGTACGCAGTCCCTCCGAAAAATAAAATACCAGCGTTTTGTCAGTCATTGGCCGAGAGGCTACAGTCCCTTCGAACAATATCAGCTCCTTGCAAGGCAAAGGGTGAAATAGCTTCAGTATGTTCCGTATGAAAAGCGTACCCCAAGCTCTTTTGGGGGGGGGGGCACTTTCATTCTGAAGCCACGTCAACAATTTTTTCCAGTACCAGGCTATCTACAGTTTTACCACCTGGGGGACACGCGGCTTGGAAGATTGGAGTACTATGCATGTCAGAGGCCGAGGAGAGGCATCTCACTGCGGATTACTTTTGTTGTAGTCGTTGGCAGTAGTTGTCCTTGTCCTTGTTGGCTGTCTTGGCGGGATTGCCGATGGTGGTGGTGGCGTCCACTCGGTAGACTACCGGCAATCTTTCTTTTTTTGTTCGTTTGTTGCTGTCGCCAACCACGCGTTCTTTCGACCTCCCCCGTCTCGTGGCTCACCGAAGCGCATGCGTTTACAGAAACATCGTCTCCTGTTGTAACGCCGACCGAACAAAATACCCAAACACCTCACTTCCGTGTACCCCCCCCCCCCCAAATGCGGTTCTGCAGGTCGTGGGTGTGTCGGTGAATCCGTCCATTTTATTGTCGTCGTTCTCTCTTATGACCAACAATAAAGTGCTGTTCTTCAATAACGCTAATTCTCGCTCTCTATCTTTGTCCCTCGAAGATCATGTACGCGGCGAAGGGTGTCGGGCTGGCTGCGCCCCAGGTCGGAGTGAACAAGCGACTCATGGTGTTCAACCCGGGTGAGTGGGCGAGAAAGAGAAGGATAATCACGCAGGCTGTCCGACAGATCGACAGACGGACGGATACGCAGATAGGCAGGCACACAGGCAGATAGACAGGCAGGCAGGCAGATAGACAGACAGACAGACAGAAGGGCAGACAGCCAGTCAAAGAGGAGTAGTGGTTTTGTCGATATGGCGCCGGCGGAAATCAGGTGTGCGAGCTTGCTCGTGGAGACGGTCGAGCAGTCCGACAGACAGATAAATCGCCTGGGATTGGGATTTCGTCCGTAGGAAGTGAATGTAGCTGTGTTGTTTGTTAACATCGTGGGTTAGTTTTTTTTCGCTCTGTGTGCATACTTGTACGGCATGGGCTAAGGACAACGAGTGCGCACGGCGGCAAGCTCTGCAAAGCAAGTCTTCGATTGTGCGTGATGCAGATGACGACACGACTTGAAGAACTCGGTAGTTTCGAGACAAAGTATTTAGTAGCTCATTTTGGTGTAACTTGTGACATGTCACTTGTGAGAAGTAGCCCATATTGTGATACCCAGTTGCAAGCCACATCCAAACCCACACAACCCTAGATACCTTGTAGCCCACATATCAGGGGACACAAGAACCCTACAGCAAAGTCTCTGGAGTATCGGAGTTCTTCAAAAGCCTCTGGATAATCGGAGTGTTCTTCAATGGCGCATCGATTCTCGAAACGACGGCTCACATTTGGTGGCAAAGTGCCTCCCTTTGTGTCTTGCCCGTGATGCCAATGGCATTGTGCCGGGCAGCTCAAGGCACTCGAGGCACATGGTTGTGAATCGATGGGTTTCTCCGCGCGGTATCATTGTTTTCTTTCCGCCGGCATCTGTGCGGAATCGCCACCCTTGGTCTTCGAGCAACCAAGAGGAACGGGGCTGCTCCCGCTCTCTCTAGTGCGGGGGGTTCTGGCGCGCGTTTCGTGCTTTCGAAAACCCGGAAAATGCGAGAAAAACGAGACTTCTTTGAAGTTGTTTGTGGGTACCATTCGATGAGTGAAGGAGGATGTAACGAATCCCCCGATCTCTACAGAAACACACAGGCGTGTTTGTCTGTCTGTAAGAATTTTCAGACCAGAAACAGCGTACAGCTATCTCTAGACGAGAGGCGACATGCATTCCTTCTACACCAGTCAATCGGTTCTAAGACATTCCCGACCTTTGTTGTCCCCTCTTTTTTGTCCCTTGCCTCGTCGTTTTTTCTTCTTTTCTTGTACGTTCCCTCTTCTTTCCTTTCTTTTGTTTTTTCGATGTCTGTTCTTGTCAGAGGGCGATGCAAAGAACTGGCTGGACGAAGCTATCCTCGTGAACCCGAAGATCGTCGCCTCCGGAAAGGGGAGAATCACGGCAGAAGAGGGCTGCCTCTCGTTCCCGGGGATGGAGGGAAAGGTGCCCCCCCTCCCCCCCCTCCCCTCAACCTTCCCCAACTCAACTTCTCAACTATCTGACATGTTTTTAACCCTAATCTTACTTCCATTTCTTCCCAACAAAAAAAAGAAAGACTGGTCCACCCCTACTATGCGTTATTCCAACATCCAAA